GAGCCTGGGACCTCTTAGGTAGGTTTCAGTACTACAAAAGAACCCCCTAAGAGGGTGTTTACATAATGAAATAGGTGTCTCCTTAGGTGAGGTTTGTGTCCTCTTGTTTCTATCCCATACCTCTGATTGACCATGCATTTGTATTCATAGGCTTTCATCTCCGGGTATGCACATCACTAACACGTCGAATACCAAGGGTTTTTCATCAAGGTAAGAGGACACTGTCCAAGCTGTTAAATGTGCTTACTGAACACAATATCTAATAGGTGGAAACCACCAACATTGCGCCGTGCGCTGCGAGCATCGTCGAACCCGTGCACTTGGGGTGTGGTGAATCGGGGCATTTTATGCAGGGACGGTGGCCTGCACGCGCGTAGGATCAGCCACTCGTGGATATTGTATCATCATTAGAATTGAATATTATTTCATACCAATATCAGTATCTGGTTCTATGATGAACGACAACAACAATCTCTGGATGAGAGCTTGATCCCCAGACGATGGTGTCGAAACGTCGAGCAAACATCAAGCATATCATTTGGCAACATTCTGCCGGGATCATTGGAACATTGCTTGCTTGACTCATACAGACATTACACTAGGGATTGCTGAAACACTGGTTGGCAATATCCCCCCAACTGTGGGTTTATTGACCATCACCTAATTTAGCTCCGACCCATCAGGCGAACATTGGCTGATGTTGTCTCGACATGGCACTGTTGTTGTCAGTTGATGATCGCGTCACTCTCAATCAAACACTGCTGCGATTCGGTGGTGTACTATATGTTCCTTTGTAGGCCAAACATCAATCCACTCATTGCTTGTGTTCTCAGTGTTGCAGATTAAGACCTTATTATGAGTGGTTTTTCATTTTAAGGCCTTAAGACCCTTAATAACCATTATTGAGGGCAATTTAATTTAAGGCTTAATTGCATAAAAGGGAAATTTCTATGAAGGCAGTGACTCTATGTATGGCAATGAGTTGTGCCAACAATTAAGGGTTGTATTCATCTTCTAAACCAGGCAGCGCCCCATTATTGGGCTCCTCGTTGCTCTCTTCAGCTGCAAGCAACTCCATTAGCAGTCTTTCCCTGGTAAATTTGCAATATGCCTGCAAGTGCAATGAATTTTGCTTTGGGCCATGGATATAGTAGTCCCATAGGTGGCCTTTGCCACGTGCCATTTTTCCTTATCCAAAGTGTGCTGTAGCTGCTACGGAGAGTCAGGACTGACAGGGCCTATGATTATGGCTTGGTAGGTTGGATACCCAAATTAGCCCATCCCAAAGTTTTGTCCAGACTTTTGGCCACAGTGGGTCCAAAATTTCTGTCTGGACTCTGCTTCTGGCCAGAGGTCCACAAAAATGTTGTCTGGACTTTGCTTCTGACCTATTTTTTGCTCTAAAAACCTCCGAGGGCCAAAAACAAATTGCAAAAAAATTGAATTCACAAGAAATGCTTATTGAATAAGTTTTATTTTATTCTATTCTGCATTGTCTACAAAACCCAGTTTGGCAGTGGCATACTTCACAAGATAGGCAAATTGAGTGGCACTTGAACGAGTGGGGAAATTGATGGTCAGGTGAAAATTTTTGTCCAGACCCCAATCTGACATGAGCCACCCAAGTTCCTTTGTCTGGACTGTGTATCTGAGGTTCACTCATTGACCTCTCGATTTGTCCAGACTCCTGCCTGACTTCAGTTGATTAAATTTCAGATTTTGTCCAGACTCCATACCCGACCTACCAAGCCATAATCATAGGCCCTGGACTGACGGAGAAGCAACTTTTGAAAATCACGTGGCAGACACGTGGTGGTATTAGGGGTTAACTAAGCCTTAATATTGTTCTGGGATATTGTTAAGGGCTTAAGTTAAGGGCTTTTTAAGGGTTAACCTTAATTAACCCTTAACCCTTAAGCTGCAACACTGTGTGTTCTCTACCGCTCTGCCTCTTGTACACTGCCACACCCGAGTTCCACAGATGGGGCACGCTCTGGGTCTGGAGACGACTTTGAGATGTAGTTACAGCCTCAGAACGCAAAAGTTATCCTTGTTCTGCTTTAGGAAATTTTTGTACTTAAGCCTTAACATCTTTAATAAGCCCTTAACACGCAACACTGTCAAAATCACTGACTGATGGATTCGGAATCTCCAGCTCAATTTTTTCTCTACAGATGTTCCTCATTTTTTTTAGGTAGTCCTATGTAAAATAAGTGTCAGTTTCATTTCCGGATAATCCGGAGGCAATCCGTTGAGAACTGAGTCCAAGTGAAGGCTATTTTCAAACTCTAGTCCACTTTCAATCCCAATGTTACCCATAGTATAGAAACTCTGGGGCCCCAATGGAGCCCCAATAGATGGATAAAATAGAGCAGCGATAGCGCTAATCGGGGAAATAATCCCTGCCAAAATGCTGTATACATAGCGCCAATCGTGATACCAATCAGGACTCACTCTCATCTCCGGGGTAATAGATCTGATCGGATCTCTACGCCAAGTACATGTACTATTTTCATAACATGTTACCTTGTTCTGATTTACTGTACCTTTCCGTATGGGTGAAACGTAATGCGTAACGGAGGCCCGTTTCTGCTTACAAATTTGCCTTTTATGGCAACTGAATTACCATAAAAGAATTACCATAAAAGGTAACTGAATTACCATAAAAGAATTACCATAAAAGGTAACTGAATTACCATAAAAGAATTACCATAAAAGGTAACTGAATTACCATAAAAGAATTCCCATAAAAGGTAACTGAATTACCATAAAAGGGATATTTGTAAGCCGTTTCAAGTGTAACACCCCATTTGCCGTTTCACCCATACAGATTGGTACAGTATGTGTAGGAAATACTTATACCGGAATGATGCTTTTAGTTGTTCCGCTTCGGGAACGAAGAATTGGAGTGGAACTACTATGCTGTTCAGTGTTCTGCATTTGGCCTGGGAGCGCGACTTGTCCTGTTCTACTTCTGGAACAGGGAAGACTAGAACATTTAAGCAACTGATCCCACCGCGCTGCAACGTTCCTTAGTCCCCTCAGGTTCTACCGTGCGCGACAACATGTCTCAGCTTCAATCCTCAATCGTGCTGGTCTTGTTGTCCTTGATACCTAATAATATTCTCCGCTACACGGGTTTGGGAATCGGCGCTGTGATAACCGCGGTCTACATCATGCACATGAAGCGCCCGTCTACATTGCTCCGCCAGCTCGAAGACACAATCCAAGAAACAGAGAAACTTATCCACAGCGCGAAATTGCAGTGCGCGCGGGACCAATGTGATCTAGCCGTTGAAGATGCTCGGTTGTTGCAGTGAGCATACATATGATTTCAGGAAACTGACCGTCGGTGACCACAGTCGACAGGATCAAAGTATCGGTGTTGGAGATTGAGAGGCGCATATTGGAATCAGAGCACCCGACGCCCGCGCGCCCCGCGCCGGTGAGCATTTTCGCGAGCACGCGCGGCGGGGAAGGCGAGGACACGCGCGGATGGGTCGGCGTCTGGCGGCTCGACGCGGCCGGGCTGCTCGCACCTACCTGGAAGGAGTATAGGCTATTGTCCCAACGCATCTTTGAATGCAAGGAGGGTGTCAGGAAGATATGCATTGCTGTTCAGGTGAGTACATTTACTTCTAGTTGATCCATTGTCTGAAGATTGCTTTTTTAGCTCATTGTCGTGGCCGAACGTGGACGAAAACATACGGAGGACATCCACGAGATACAGACCATTCTCACCAGTATTCGCGGGTCGAGTATGTGCATACTAAAAACTCGGAAACGATATTTAGCCGCTTACCACGCACCTACAGGTCACGGCGCTTGGAACCATCGGTTCAACAATCATCTTTCGCCTGAACCAGCCTAGAGGTCGGTGATTTAAATAGTCCATACACCAGAGGCCTACACCTGCCTTCATTTCCAAGTTGCTCTCCTAGTTTTCGTGTGTCACCCTGCAAATTTTCCACTCCTAGATATCGTGGTGTCTCTTGTTGTTTTCAGTCAAGAATAAAAGTCATGTTGATTTCCCTAAGGCCTACTCGTCAAATTCCCGACAATATTGTCAAAACTAGACTCGACATCTGACGCGGCAAATGAATCTTACGTGAGACAAGGGCACATCGAATGGGTGGAGTAAGCGCCGTCCAGAATCACGACTTATCTAATCCCTAGATCCATGTAAAGTCTGGGCGCGATCGCGTCGGGAGCTACAGGAGTAAAATCTGATAGTTGATAGTATCTGGTTCAAAGGACTAAAGAAGTGGGTCGCTGGTCCGCTGCTTGCTAAGAGACCTTGGTACAATACAGTGTTGTGTCAGTCAGACCTTGAATTGAAAGGACGGGGACGAACCTCAATGATTTTTTAGACCCATGAATGATTCGATCTTACAAGCCCGGCCAGTGCCACACGCACTGACATGCAAAAAAATACGGTTGAGCCGAGTCCACCTGTGGCTATTGTCAACGACAATTCGATCGGCATACGAAACAAGGATTTTGCCAGAGTTCAAGTCATCATGGTAGAGAACGAAGGCATTCTCTGGAGGGTCGAGGAGTTCGGAGGGATGGGCGCTGGTCCCGTCTGATAGCAATTGAAACCGCTCGATTGCGTATTCGCGTGACAGATCTTCAAACCCTCCATATCGTCGCGCAGGACAAATTCATATGGATAGGTGCAGGAAAATCCCAACGGTCCGACAGTCCCTTCTTCGTCGAGACTCGATAAGACAGCCACTAGCAGGGAAATAGAGCACTAGCAGGGAAATCGAGCTCCACAAGCTGGGCCTGGAAGTTGGCCAAGTGTGTGATCATTATATTCATTCGGTCGTCCGACGGTCACGGTGGTGTATGGTACGCACCTCTACAAAATCATGTGGATGGCAGGAATTTTCGAGCACAAGGATGGGGTTCCATTCGGCGTAGTCTTGAGATGATGATGCTTTTGCTGTTCAATCCGAAGAATGTCAAATTGAGGAGGGTGAAAAGGAATAGCCAGAGCGTCGGTGGTGTATGGTACGCACCTCTGGAATGTGGCTGCGGTCATTTGTCAAAGGAGTGGATGGGGTTCGATCCCCCACTGACGCATTCTCGTAGTTCATCAAGGTTTTTTTTGGCTTGGATTAGAAGAATAGGAACGGAACGGGGAACGTCAGAAGAGCGAAATGGAAGTGTCGGTGGTGTATGTAACGCACCCCCACAACCTAGGCGGGGTTCTACCGGTCAACACATGACATGGACGGTCCAAAAGTACCTTTGTCTTTCGACTTAAAAGCAAAATATTTCGACGCTGTTGAGAGGAGTCGTAACATGGGTAGGGAGCGTCGGTGGTGTATGGTACACACCTTTGCATTGTGGTAGCGTGTGGACATTTGAAAGAGGGGATAGGTTTCGATTCCCAGCCGATGTGTATTTTCAACAGACGAGTGTCTTTTTTTGCTGATAAATCTACACTGTGGTACGGCAAAGGGGAACGTCAAGAAAGTGGGATAGAGCGCCAGTGGTGTATGGTACACACCTCTGAGATGTACTTGAGAGGAAACGTCCAGTGTCAGGAGAGACTTCGAATCGCCTCGATTCCCTGGGGCATATGGTGGAATCATTTTTAAGGAATGACATTCGGAGAATATCAGATTTAGATAAGGAGGGGGTGGAAATGAATGAAAAAAAAGAGTTAGTAGAGTATCACACCTCCGCAAAATCGCAAAAATCTTCGAAGCGTTTCGATTCCTCGTCGTCGCATTACAGATGAAAGTGCCTGAGAATCTTTGTTCAAAAAACTGAAGAACAGTAAGTAAGACTCTAACGCTGAGAGAAGGGTCGGAGGGAACGAGAAAAGTGTCGGTGGTGCATGGTACGCACCTCGGAAAAATCTTGTGAATGACAAAGAGAGGATGGGGGTTCGATTCCCCGCAGGCGCGTTGTTGGAAAAGAGTTGTATTTCTTCTCGGCGACGAAAGAGTATGTACCATAACTATATTGAAGGGAAGGACGAAAGCGTCGGTGTATATTGTGCACGCCTCCGCAAGCTAGAAGACAGTTTTCAGGAAGGAGACGGGCTTCGATTCCCAGCCAGCGCAAGCTTGTGTTGTTCGCCCCTTTTTTCGGAGCAATATTAGGTCAACTTGTCTGGTTATGTGGCGAGACAACTGCACTCCCAGAAACGCCGAACCGCAGCCGTGGTTTTGAACAGCATACCTAGACTATCGTCGAAAAGAGGTCAAGTGGGGGGCACAGCAGTAGAGCGCCTAAGGAATAAAGAGCCCATCGACAGAGGCCAGCAGGGAGCGCATACTACTCCCAGTACATCAGCCACGCAGAAGTTGAACGTTGAACGTCGAGACCAAGTTGGGTTGTGTGACGGAAGCGTGAAGTACGAGTTCCGGCGCACGAGAATTTTGGGGAATCCCGACCACTCTGACTGTTGTAAGTAGTAGATTGAGGAAGAATTCGTAACTACAGGTACACGCTTTATATACGACAGAGGGTGGCGGTGTGATAATCAGCTGCTGATGCCATCAAAGATCGTTGACGCGGGAAGGAGAGACTAGGATGAACGTCGAGTGGTGAGCTGTGTACATAGAGAACAAATGAAACGAAATCAAGGAACCGACATGAAAGACAGAAAAAGAAAAGAAAGTAGGGGGGGACCTGCGAAGTGACGGTCACGTTCGTTACGCCTATAGACGTCGATAGCGTGAGAACAGGCCATTATACGCGTGTCCCAGACACGATGAGCGACCCGCCGCCGCCGCCCAAGTCCAAGCCCGGTTCCCTCCGCGACCGCATCGCTGCCTTTGAGAAGCCCCAGTCGTCCTCAGGTCCCACTCCGCCGCCGCTACGCCCCCAAGCCCGCCACCGCCGTCTCTGGAAGCCCAAGCCCATCTCCCCGCCGTCCACCCCGCCCGCCGATGGCAACGCCGGACAGGAACCGGCAGCGCCGGCAGCGGTGGGATGTCCGCGAGCGATGCCAAGGAGAGCATCGGGCGCGGCGGCAGCCTCAAGGAACGCATGGCCGCGCTTCAGGGCCGCGGGGCGTTTGGCGCCCCCCGCATCTGCGCCTAGCCCGCCCATCGGCACGGGGAAGAAGTGGGTGCCGCCGCCGCCGCCGCCGCCAAGAATTGAGGAGGAACCCGTTGTAGAAAAAGTGAAGGACCAGGAAAAGGAGGACAAGGACGCCCGAGGCGGACGCGCCGCCAGCAGCTGCGACCCCGTCGGCTGTGAGTACCCCGGCAGCGGAAGAGGCACCCGACTCCGAGGGTGAGCCCGACCCCGAGGACGAGGAGCGCCAGCGCCGCGCGGCGATCGCGGCGCGTATGGCGCGCCTCGGCGGCGCCCGCGTCGGCATGGCTCCACCCGTCTTCGGCGTTAAGCCCCCAATGAAGAAACGCTCCGAGCGACGACGAAAAGCGTGCGTTGTCGCCCTGTGTGCTGCTCTCTCTCTGGATATTATTCTCACTGGTATTGTCTTATAGCGCCGTCTGTGAAGAGCCCCGCGTCCCCGCCGACGTCGCCCCGATTCCGGAGGCAGATACTACTGCGGGTGAGTTTCGCTTCGCTCCGTCTGCCATTTCCCCCGTTCCATTCTGCTCCTGGCATTCTACGATATCTCTCGTGTTCTCTACTAGTTGTTCTTTCGAGAACTGTCCTTAATCTTCTTCCTCACCTGCCAGTCTCCCCACCTCCTTCCTTATGCTCTCCTTATGTCTCCTCTCTTTTACTTCTCTCCTCGGATCCGACGCTGATTACATGACCCAATTCCCCGTGTAGCCCGACTCACCGCCGTTGAAGACACCAAGGAGCCAGAGAAAGTCTCGCCTGCCCCTGCAGCTGGAGAAGATGCGGACGCTGAAGGTCAGTATTGTTCCCTTTACTTTGAATTCACACTTTTTGTTCTGTTTTTGTGACTTTTTTCGGTTTTCTTCCGTTCTCGCTCCTTTCTTGTTCTTCTCATCCTTATCATTCTCCTTACGTACATATCGTTCTGCCGTGTCCCACTCACCCAATCCATGTTCTTCCTTTCCTCCTCTCATCTTTCCCTTCGCCTACAAATCACAACTCCATGTAACACTAGCTGACGACCCTCCCAGCCGCCCCCGCGCCTGCCTCTCCGCCCATCACCACTTCGCCCCCTGTAGTTCCCCCGCCGCCGACGTCTCTCCCTCTGAACCGCTCCTCTCCCCACCCACCTCGTCCCCGAAGCGGCACATCAATCCCCCGCTGCTGTGTACCAGCCGCCCGCGCGCATGGCGATGCCGGTCCCCGCAGGCCCGCGCCGTGCTGCGCCTCCGCGGAAGAAGCGCGGTGCATCGCCAATGCCGCCTGTGCGTGCGGAGGAGGCTGAGGTCAATGAGGGGGGTGAGGAGGAGAGCAAAGAGGAGGGCGTTGCCGCCGAGTCGGTCAGTCTTACCGAAGGCAACGTAGAAGGAAAGGAGGGGCCAAGGACGAGGAGAAAGAGGTGGAGTGCAAAAGGAGGAGAAAGAGGTAGTCAAAGAGGCCCAGGAGGAAGTTATCGAGGAGTCTTCACCCACCGTCTCCGCCCCTGACGCAGCGCCTGCCGCAGCGCTGAAGGACGAGCCTGTTCCTGCCGAGGAACCTGTTCACGCCCCCTGCTCCTGCCGAGAAGGGAGATGCAGAGGAGGATGAGGACGACGCGGCGTTCGCGACACCCGGGGAGGGTGCCGAGCCCCTGCCCATTGAAGTGACGCCCGCGCCCGTTGCTGGCCTGAGCCCATCGTCAAGTCCGCGCCGGTACCCGCGCCTCAACGCAGACGAAGAACACCACGAGCACCAAGTCGACGAGCTCGAGCTCGAGCAGGACGTCGTACCCACGCCGCACGCCGCCACGTACACACAACCGCCACCTGTGCCCACCCTTGATGCTGAACGCGGGCTGGAGCCCGAGACGCCCGGCGTGGGCGAGGGCGACATCACGTCGGCGGCGCGGGGCGGGTTTTTGGGAGGTGCGGTTGAAGATGGGGAGGAGGAGGAAGCGGAAGAAGCTAAGGAGGCAGGGATGAGCAGAGAGAAGAAATGGAGGAGGAGCTAGAGCGGGAGCAGGAGAAAGCTGAAGTGGAAGAGAAGGCAGCTGAGGAAGAAGATGAAGAAGCCGCGCGCCGGCAACGCGTCGCGGAGCGCCTTGCGCGCATGGGGGGCGTGAACCCCATGGCGCAGCGGGCGGCTGTCAAGCCTCAACCTCAGCCAGTTGACGACGAATCCGAATCCCCGCCGCAGACGCAAGAACCACAACAAATGCAGGAAGACGAAGAAGACGAGGAGGTGGAGGCAGCGCGCCGGAAGCGCGTCGCGGAGCGGATGGCGAAGATGGGCGGGTTCAACCCCTTTGCGCCCGCGCCGCCGGTGAGGCGGGATAGTGCCCAGAGTGGTGTGAGTGCGCCGACGAGACGGGACAGTGTGCAGACGAGACGGGACAGCGCACAGAGTAGGAAGGACAGCACGCCGGCGGATGGTGAATATTGATTTTTATTTCTTTCCTTTTCCTTTTGGGTGGATTTGCATGTCGGCGGATCGGTGGACGAATGGGTTCCTTGGTTGGATATCCTGTTGCGTGTTTTCCATTTATTCATTCATTCATTCATCCTTGAATCCTTCTATCCCTTTCTCCCTTCCATTCCCTCCTGCAGCGCCTTTTTTGTTTCCCCTTTTGCTTCCTTCCGTACACCTCGTGTACCAATGATATGCGATTTATTGATCGACCGTTCGTTGTTTAGATCATGATGTCGCGATTGCGGGGATGCCGGAGGGCGCGCGCGATGAGGAGCCGGAGGTGTATGCTGATGCGGTGGCGGAAGAGCTGCACGCGCAAGAGCCAGAGCAGGAACAAGAAGAGGCGGATGCGCCGCCCCGCCCCCGTCGCGTCCGGCCAAAGCTGCGCGCGCCGTCCCCGCACCACCCGCGCTACGCGAGAGCGAGGAAGAGACAGAGAGCGCGTACGAGCTAGAGGAGGAGGAGGACGTGCCGCCGCCGCCGCCGCCCGTGCGTCAAGCCGAGGTGGCCCCGCCTCCGCCGCCGCGCGCCGCGGAGGAACGCCGCCGCTCCATTCCAGCCCCGCCCCGTGCTGTGCCTGC